CAATTTGATTTTTTTCCCATCCCCTCAAAAAAAGGTTTTCCCAATTTTTTTTTTTTTTTTTTTTTTAGTGGTAGAATAAACAAGTGGATCTCACTTATTGATTTGTGCAGCCCAGAAAACAACTGGTTTAACACTTTTACTTAGGTGCTATTTGAGAAGGAAATGCTCTAAAATAAACATGAGTCATATTTTTATGATTTTTATTTATCATTTTTTAAAATAAAAATAACTTTTGTACTTTCTACTTACGATCTAATTACGTATAAGTACTTTCTACATATACATTGCTTTGTGTTGATCTACCACATAATATCGCAGCAAAACTAATCAATGTCTGTGGTTAAAATGTGATGGACTGGGAAGAAATTTAAGAGGTATGAGTACTTGCATGATGCGTCATATCGCCAAATGGCAAAATCAACTTTCTTGGGTCCTAAACTTAGCAATGTAACATTTTATTCATTTTAAGTCAAAATAAAAGAGTACATTTATTAACATATATCACATTTTCTCATACATTTTAAAAAGCCTAGCTACTTTAATCTATCTATATATTCCGATAAGAAATACACAGGTGATGGTCAATGCAGCCTTTGGCTCTTCTCCACAACCTGACACAGCATAGTGCAGAATGAAGGACATAGGTGTATTGGTAGGACACAAAATAATATAAAAGATTGCATGACGCTCTGTTTCTTTTTTTTTGTTTGTTTTTTTTTTTTTTTTTAAATCTCTGCCCCTTTTAGATGCTTTTATCCTACAGTGTGACAAACTGCAACCTGCAAGGAGACCTTGGTAACACCCCACTAATACTGGCCTGCTCTCTCAACAACTGTGAAGCTCTGAACATACTGGTATGTTCCGTTTTCCATTAACCACCAGTATAGCATGTCAACAGAACTGTGTCTTATTGGAACACCATGACAGATCTGTCTCCAACAAAACACCGTCTCTTTTTGTCCTTCTTTTTAAAGCTAAAGCACGGGGCCATGCTCTGCACACAGAACAAGCTAGGCCATTTTGCCATGCATGCTGCTGCCTTCGCGGGAGCGAGGAAAGCCATGGAAGTCATTCTGAAGGCTGGTACGAGAATTAAATAACACATGTCGACAAAATCCAGAAGTGCTGACAGTAACAAACGTTTCTTGCAAGGCCAAATGGCAAATTAGGTTGATAGATAACAAGAGCTCACCTTGCCACGGGAGCCTCCGGAGACATTTTCAGGAAAAATGCTTCGCATATTCAGTCCCTCGGAGTGATTCAGTACTCGCGGGAAGATTGTTTGCCAAATGTGAGTTTGTTGGAGGAAGTTTACTTCCAGTACAAAATATTTATGAGGTTTCTAATAGTTTTTGTATTAACAGTTTGGATTGCTTGGATTGTAGCAGACAATTCATTTGGATGAACTTATTACTTCCACCCTCAAAAGTACTAACATAAAAAAACAAAACCAAGTCAAAACAACAGACAGGCTGAATGGGAATTGCCAGTATGTTCGCAGTATACCCTCAACCCTCAGTACAAAGCAACTCTTGATTAAATTCATTGGCAGGAGAAGAGCACGGCCACAATGCAGTGTCCCACATCAACTACCTAGACAAGTCCAAGAGCAGCCCTCTCCATCTGGCCGTGCGTGGGGGGAATTTCGAAACCATCCGTCTCTGCATCGCCACTGGGGCCAAAATAGACCAGCAACAGGTCTGTGACCAACAGATAGTATTGAAATGTCAATACTTTATGCAGACGGTCTGCATAAAGTTGCACTTTCCATAAAGCGTGTAAACCATCAATCAAAACGCAGATGTTCATTTGGTTGTCACCACAGCTTTTCATGTATACGAGGATGACATTTTCATAAGCACATCACAAATGGTCCAATTCGTCTTCAGTCTGTCAATTGCATACTTTGTTAGATTTGCATTTGTTTTGCTTAGTTTTTTAATCTACAACCAATTTGCCTGCACCTGTACATTATTTTACTGGCAATTATGCTAGGACAAGTCACTCTCATCCCTCTCATCAGGGACTGCTTGTTATGTCTAGTTCAGGTTTAGTGCCCAGAGCCACGGCAGCGATGGAGGGCATAGTAATAGCTTCAGTTGGCTAAATTGATACAAATTACCTCCACTTACACTATGGAGTTGAGTTGGGCAATCAGCACCCCCTCTTCTATCAGTCCTAGTTATCTCATGAAAGGCTTGCACTAAAGTCAGCCAGTACGTGCAGGACATGCATTAGGGAGGCATAAAGTATGCGCAAAAAAAATGTTTGTTTGACTTCTTATTCCTGCAGATACGTGTTGCATTAATGCATTGTTCATTCCTAATTCTGCGTGCGGTAACGCAGTGATATTTTGTGGTTTAGAATGATCGCTGCACGCCTCTTCATTTGGCCTGCACTCAGGGTGCTATAGAGGTGGTGAAGCTGATGCTGTCCACTGTGGACCAAGTGGAAGATGTTATCAACCTGACTGATGGGGCTTGCCAGACTCCTCTGCATAGGTGGGTGTTCTCCTGTCATCCCAGCCAGAATTAATGTCAACAGTTTGCCTTCGTTGGGCTCTCAGATGCTTGATCTATTTCACCACAGTGTTATTTGTTAATTAGACTTGAGGAAAACGTTAATGACATTGAACATGTGGGCTGCTATCTATCTATCTATCTATCTATCTATCTATCTATCTATCTATCTATCTATCTATCTATCTATCTATCTATCTATCTATCTATCTATCTATCTATCTACAGAATGTATGTCAAAGGTCTTCATTGATGTCTAATCTGTGACCCTACTGCAGCAGCTATTTTCCCTGCTGTCCTCAGATTCAGGGTTTATAGAAATGGGGATTAACAAGTATTTTTCCATCAGTCAAACAGTTGTAAGAAAAAAAAAAAAAAAAAATTCATCTACTTTAGCCGAGGCACGTGCAGAATCCAACCAAACTGCAAGGCATTTGTGATTGACGTGCGTCATCTGAGGGCACAACTGCGATCCAGGAGATAAAAGGCGAGATGACAAAGGGAAATCTAGTTATGTCACACCCTGAGTTAGATCACTCTTATTCAACACTGGCCACCATGACTAAGGTTGCCAGCTCTTGCAGCTGTGCTTGTTGGTTTACAGCAACTGTGTTTGCTTTTCCAGGGCTACAATATTTGACCACGCGGAGCTGGCGGAGCACCTGATTTCTTTGGTAAATAAAGCGCCACACAACACACATTCTGAACTCGGATGAGGAATCATGTGATTAACCTTTCTTCTCTTTGTAAGCTGTTGCTGCACTTTGACTTTTAATTTGGTGTCACGAGAGCAGTCGAGCCAAATTACAAGTTAATTATTTCATCAATTTAATCGCTTACTTTGTGTGCTTCCCCATGTTTGTTATTGACCAATTATGTTCACTCTAAAGTCACCACAGGGCTGAGTTCAAGGTGCTGCTGAGCAACACTTGTCCACCATCTGTTGCACATGTACACTCTTTTATTAGACATTAATTGCTATGAGAGTGGAAACACCCGAGTTTATTAACGTAAGCTCATTTTGTCATAAAACAAAAGGACAGGAAATCAACCTTAGCCCGTTTAGCTCTAGAAATATATATTTCCGAGATGTAGCCAATATGAGATGAGGTCAGTCTCTGCTTGGTAGCTCAGACATTAAAGTGCAAAATCATTGGATAAAATGGACACCCACAATAGCGAAGTGACTGTTTGCCATATTTTAAAACTAACGTCACACTGAATACACCATTTCCACCATGAAACACACCGGTGGCAGCGTCGTCCAAGGTGCACTGCCTCCAGATGTGTGTGGCTTGAAATACTTTATTCTCTTGCAGATGTTTATGATTTATTCTTATTTGTGCAATTTCAGCTTTTCTGTTCTATTTTTTTATATGTTTAATGTAGTCTGGAAGCAAGGGTAATCCAGCGGTTTTTGAACTGCAACTCCATTTATATCTTTAAGCCAAACCCCTTTTATGTGACCAGCTGACCTCTCCACGCTGTATCTAAATATGCTGTTAATGTCCCTTCACACCACAGCAATGGGAAGGATTCCAGCAAAGAAAGCTGCATGTTTTAGGAAAAAATGCCTCGAGGATATAGAGAGAACATTGCACTGTACGAGTTGATTTGTTTGTAATCTAATCCTTCCCCTTGTGTTACTATGAAATAAAAGATTTTTGGAAAGAGAGGGCCTGCTAAATGCAACTCTTCCCTTGTGCATCTGCAGGAGAGCAAACATATCCAGAACTCATTCAAATGAGCTCTAGTAATAGATGCAGCTACAAATGATTCATCTTCAAAAGGCAGAGGAGTTATAACTGTAACGTTGCTTGATTTAATACATATTCATTCGTATCCACGTTTCTTTTGAAAGGTCTTCAGAAGTAATTGCAGTGAAAATGAGTCCGAAACGTTAATTCTTTTGTGTTCTCACTTCCCAGGGTTCTGATCTGAACAGCACCGACTGTAAAGGAAACACCCCTTTGTTGTTGGCAACCAGTTGTGGAGCATGGAAAACTGTAGCTCTGCTGCTGTCCAAAGGTGAAATAAAATGCCGCTCACATTTACCAGAAGCACTTAAGATTTCCGATAATGTTGACTTGGAATAGGTTGTAAGTATATGCTCATATCTTTTAAGGGGCCAATGTGAATGTGAAAGACAAATGTGGCTGTAACTTTCTTCACCTGGCCATCCTGCAGCCTAAGGGTCTGAAAAACCTCCCAGAAGAAGTGCTACAGGTACCCAAAAATGGTTGCTCCAAAAAAAAAAAAAAAAAAAAAATCACAGCGTAGGAAGACATCACCGTATTGGAATCTAATTAAGGCACTGTCTGTAATCAATTTGTATTGAGCCCTAAAGCGAAACATTGTTTCTAATGTTGTAAATTTCATTGAATGAGCAATATTTTTTCACAGATTTCACAATGAGCGTTTATTACAATATGAAACAGGAATTTATAATAATGGGAGAAGTTTGATGCATCTGATCTCAAACAAATTGACTCACAAATGATAATATCTCTCAGCCTTCCTTGAAAATCTTACTCTGATAACAAGGAAATTTCAAGAAAGGATGGATGGATGTTTGTTGTGTTTGCCTTTTAGAATTTCAGTAAGTACTGTGGCAAAATTTGTAAAAAAAAAAAAAAAAAATGGCCCAAATCACGGAAAAGCTGATAATTCAAATTCAGTAAATAGTCTGAAATGCTGCAGTCAATTTCAGCACAACCTTTGTTTGTTTTATAGCACTTTCATTACCATTACCAACATACTTTTTGAATAGGACTTGAGCGTTATTAGTCCAACATGTCTATGATGTCTCCGACTTTAGCATAGCAGCGTGAAAGCTTTGCTGAACTGCGAAGATAACGAGGGCTGCACGCCACTGCACTACGCCTGCAGACTGGGTATCCATGACTCAGTGAAGAACATGCTGGGCCTCTCGGGTCAAGTTGGCCTTGCATGCAAGTCCAAAGACAAGAAGTCTGCTCTTCACTTTGCTGCACAGTAAGAAAAAAAAAACACCGACTTAACTGGAGTTTGATTCAAAGTTGTTTAGTCTTTCTTTGAAAATGTGTCCTGTTGCCTTGAGTTTCTACCGAAGCCAATAGTGGCTCAGACCTTTACAGTTGTGAATCGAGTCCATCACATATTATGAAAGTGATTGTGTTATTGAAGATCCATCCAACTATGACTTTAAGTGATAAAACAGAGATTTCCACTAGGTCTCTACAATTAAACAAAAGGTAGACAGGTAATAAATTCATGTGTCAACTCAACTAAAAATGTCACCAGATCTTTTAATCCAGTGAGTTATTTTGTTTTTTTTTTTAAATCATAACCTTTTTGCAAAGATTAATTGCAGCACCACACGATGATTCTTCACAAACCTGAAGGTGCTGTCACAAGAACAGAATTCAATTACCTAGAAATGAGAGTAAATGCAATAAATGTTGTGAAAGAACGAACATGAGGCATTTATTCGCATTGATTTTTCAATCACTCACACCTGCTTAATTAGAACTCGAGGGGGCAAAAGAAAACCACGTTATGATGTCATCCTATAAATCTTTGTGAAATCCCGTTTTAAACGCTGCTCAATTTATTGTGCTGACGCAAAGTCCTGCTGACCTTCTTACAAACTTCAGGAGCGCAGAAGAATATTTGTTAACAACACAGCGGAGCAATTTTCAGAGCTTTAAGGATGGCTGGCTCCGACTTTCACTGTAGTATTTTGACTGCAGGTTGAAGCCTTGAGTGTGTGGCACTTTGACTAGACACCTTCTGTCTAAGATGTAAAACGTACAGATGGGATAATCAGTTAGGGCTATATTGGTTTTTAAAGGTGTATGTACTCAACTGTGAAGGTAGTGATATAGTGAAGTTTGAAATAAAAATGTTGATTTTGGAACACATTCCTTAAGCAAGTAAGTCTTTGTGAATTTTAATCCAAGTTAAAATCTTTCGATGATGCTCCTAAATCAGCATGTTTTGTTGTTTGAAACGAGATGTTTTACTCTCCTTTGTGCTTTACGTCATAATGTCAGACAGTCACCATACGTGTTACGGCATATTAGTGTTCCCGCCTCCCTTCCTCCTCCTTATTTCTTTAAGATACGGGCGCATCAACACCTGCCACAGGTTGCTGGAGTCCATCACAGACTCTCGTCTGCTAAACGAAGGTGACGAGCGAGGCCTGACGCCACTCCACTTGGCTTCCAAGGGGGGGCACACCAAGGTGGTTCAGCTGTTGCTGCGCAAAGGAGCTCTCTTTCACAGGTGCGACCCAAATGCTGGATCGTTGCGTTTACAGACAGCGTGCATAGCATTTGTAACGACTAAAAACACGCGATCATGTCGATACTGATATTTTAAGCCAAGTCGATACGTTAAGCAAGTACATTTATGGCATACAAACCCGTGAACTTTTGTTTTTCAGTGATTACAAAGGCTGGAGTTGTCTACACCATGCCGCCTCTGAAGGATACACACAAACTATGGATATACTGCTCTCTGCAAACCCCAAGTTATTGGATAAAACCGATGAGGATGGGGTATAAACGAGTGTTTTTTTTTTGTTTGTTTTTTTTTTAGAAACAAATCTGCCTTTTCTTTGACAACAGTTTTACCAGGCTGTACAGTTAGCTCTGTTATCAAGCATGTAATCATTTTGTTGTCACACTGACATGCCAGAACACTGCACTCCATATCGCTGCGAGATCTGGACATGTGGCTGCAGTCAGAATGATGCTGGTCAGAGGGGCTGAGCTTGTGCTGAACAAGAATGACACTTCCTTTCTTCACGAAGCGCTGCAGAACGGGAGAAAAGAAGTGGTCAACGCTGTGATTGACAGCGAAAGGCAAGTCATGAAAAAAAAAAGTCTTGATCTTAAAGAAATAGGTAGTCTTGTTCAAATTTGTGATCGTTCTAAATATAGAAACATTAAGACTCAACTATACGCTTTTACTCTTGCAGGATTGAGGAGGCTTTGCGACTGTTTGTTCCCGGTTCCACCCAACGATGCCCCATTCTTGACATGATTGAATTTCTGCCTGAGGGCTGCAAGGTTTTACAAAAAAAAAAAAAAAAAACTTTCATCATGAATCATAAATAAGTTCTTTATGCCATTTTCTGCTACGTGACTTGTTGTGACTAAGATTGGAGATCAAATTTAAAGTTCTGTCACTGTGACTCGTTCCTACAGCATCTGCTTGACCGCTGCGTGAAGGAGTCTGATGATGACCACAACAGCCCTGACTACCATGTAATTTATCTGCAACATGCACTATGAATACATCAGCCCGAACATCATTAAACTAAAAAACAAACTAACTAGATTTCTGTATATTGTGTAGATTGAATATGATTTCAGATGGCTGCAGGCTCCCATTTCGCAGAAGCTGATTGAGCAGGGCTACGCTCCTAAGCCTCTAGCCGCAGTCAATGTAAGTTTCCTCGATCACTACTATGTGAGTGATCATGATTGAAGTCAAGTGTCAAGTTGATATCAAGAAATGTCAGCACCCGTTCATAAGCAATTTGGCTAAATATGTCTCGACTGGTAAAAATCTAGAAACTTCTGCACCTGGTTCTTGGTCTTAAAAATCTCTTATATCGCATGTTATATGCTGCTGAGGAAGAAGGGTTAAATAAATGTAACTTGACCACAGCCGTACTTACTGAGAGCAGCAATTTAAATCTTTTCTATGTTAAAAAATAAAAACCTTTTATTCACAATTTCTGCAGGCGATGGTGCAATATAACCGCATCGAGCTCCTCAACCACCCAGTCTGCAAAAAGTATCTGGGAATGAAATGGTGTGTATCAAACAGTTTAGGGACTGAACTTTATTTCACTTCTTAAAGTGCTTTTGTCGTATTTCATTTCAAAATTTTTTTTTTTTTTTTTTCCCCACCCTCCACAGGGTTGCCTACGGGAGCAAAGCTCATGTGCTCAACATGTTTCTGTACCTGTTAGGGCTGCTGCCCTTAACAAACCTGATAGTGACCCTTCGACCCTCTGTAAACACCACCGAGACAGGCGAACTCGACATCGTCATGGTTCCCACTTCATTCACAGAGGTATCATGAAGTGGCCTGTAGCGTAAGCTAAGCTATTCAAATAATAAATGTGTAGTGATCTAACACCACTTGTTTCAATCTTTTTTTTTTTTCTTTTTTTTTCCTAGCAAAGTATGTTCTTGTCCTTCTGCATGGTGATGGTCTTGATCACTAACGTCTATTCTATTGGAAAAGAAGTGGTGCAGATATCACAGCAGGTTGGAGTTACACTGTTACTCATATATCATTAAACTATGAAAGAAAATTATTCCATAAACATATTTCTCTACTAAACCTAGCAGCAGTTTTGATAGATGAATGTGAACTAAAACAGTAAACATCACATTTACTGTTTACTTTGCATGTTTCTAACACACACACACACACACACACACATATATATATAAAAACAACTTTATTCACCATAATCCATTGCTACCCCAAAGCGTTGGAGTTACTTCAGGGACGGGTCGAACCAGATAGACTGGATGTCGGCTATCAGCTCTCTTTTGTTCGTCGTTCCCCTCATGGTCAACGCAGAAGGTTCTTGGCACTGGCAAGCAGGCGCAGTGGCCATTTTAAACTCCTGGATTGGGTTTCTCCTTTATCTCCAGAGGCACGTTGACTCCGACTCTAGCACTGCGTGTATTTCACCGTCACGTCTTTCTAGTGTTGTTGAAGTTGGACAATTTTCCCGTGCTTCAGGTTTGAGGGTGTTGGCATTTATGTCGTGATGTTTGGGGAGATCATGAGGACATTGCTCCGTATCGTGATGCTGTTTGTGTATCTGATGTTGGCGTTCAGCTTGGCGTTCCACGCTCTGATGCTCAACCAGGTAAGTGAGAGCACAAACACAAATAAACCTTAGCAAGTGCATACATCTATATATATATGCATAGTACATATTCTGTGCATGCTATGACATAAGTTTTTGGTTTATGTGTTATGATCTACATATACACATTGTCACTTTGCTCTGTCAACAGGAAGAGTTTAACAGTGTGCCGCTCTCCGTGATTCAAACCTTTGTGATGATGGTCGGAGAGTTGAACTACCAGAACAACTTCCTGGATGCTTACTTGAACAACGAGCTTCCATTTGGTGTCTTGACGTATGTCATTTTCGTGAACTTTGTTCTGCTCATGCCAATCCTCTTGGTGAACCTGATGGTAAGTGTGCTAGCATTTTTTATTTATTTGTTTTTTTATTGCACCTGGTTATTTCATATGCCCGAAATGCGCTTCAAAACATAAGTTATCAAACTGTTAGGATTTAAGATATAAAATTAGTCCAATAATTTGAATGCATTCTTTACGATGTGCATTTTATTCTATATTTACTAGGGGAAATTTTAGAGATTTAAGAGCTTTGAAACAACTGAATACATTTGTTGAATTGCAAACATTTTTATATGCGCATACTTAACTAAACTAACTGGATCCTAATATGTTATTATTATTTATCCTAAGTAATATAAAAAATTACTGAAGTAGCAATAATTTGTTTAAATTTAAGTAGAATGGACATACTTTTTTTTTTTTTTAGAAGTGTAGCCTGGTAGAAAGTTTTACTTGTGGCACTTCTGAAACTGGTTAAGGAATTGTAGAAAGCTTATAAAATACATTTTAACACGGAGCATGGTGACAAAACTTTTCCTGATAATCATAGCTGAGATATTTGCACTTGTTCATCCCACAGATAATACTGCCCTGGGCAGTGAGCCATAACAGCCTCATCAAAAGCCTCCTTGCAAGACATACATCTTTTTTATTGATGCCTATAAAATTGCTTACAAGCTAACTGTCTAACAGTGAAGGACAAATACTACCCCAGCTATGACATAAATACAGTATTTATATAATGAATGGGGTTTTATTATGTAAATAAATAAAAAAAATCGTGATCACTGTTTTGCTTTTTTTGTGGCAATTTTGGCAAAAATGTTTTTGACAATGACTTCTGTCTTTCATGTAATGTCTGTAGATTCCCCACTGTTTAGTGTTTTGTGACCCACAACTCTGTGCTTACTTTAACTTTAACAGACTTTTCCTCCTTTTTCAGAATATGTCCCATGTACATGTGTTGCATTGTGTTTTTTGGAATATGCCTCATGTAAATCTTTTTCACTAAATTGACAGTGCTTACAGCACGTTATGCTTCTATACACCGTTTGACGATCCGTTGGTGGCTCTGCCTTGCAGATCGGTTTAGCAGTCGGAGACATCGCTGAAGTTCAAAGAAACGCTTCCCTGAAACGAATAGCGATGCAGGTAAGTTTGGAGATGGACCCTCCTGACAATGCTTTACAGCTTACTCTGATTTTGGACTGTCATGACTGTGCATTAAAGCCACCAGGATTGTAAAATCAAGTGCACAGTTGATGTAACAATTTATTGTTATTGAGGCCTTTTTTTTTTTTTAAAGTTTGGGATCAAGTCCAAGTAACGTTATAAGAAGCGGGAGATGTTGAATTGTGTGCTATCAATGCAAACTACAAAGTAAACTATTAATATCCTGCTCTGCCATGCTTAAAACAAACCCGGCAATGAGGCAGTGCTATAAAACAATCAGTGTGGCAGATGTGTCTCAGAATGATTAACTGCGTTTGTTTAGTTTTCTAATGTGGAGTTTATGTTTCCCCTCTGATCTAAGATTGATCTCCACACATCCCTCGAAGACAAGCTCCCTTACTGGTTTATGAAGCGAGTGGACAAACCCTCAGTCACCATCTACCCCAATCGCAAGTGCTCCAGGGTGTGTGCCGTGCCTACGTTTGTAATAAAATCATGTCAGTTTCCGCTTTTATATGAAAATTCACTCTTTCTTGCAGCACTTCCTAAAACAAATGATCTCTGGGGAGGACGAAAGAAGCGAAGTCTGGACTCGTCTGCAGTCCAAATCGCAGAGCTGCACGTTTGTGGAGAATGAGCTCAAAAAGCAGAAGGCCAGGTGAGACACCTACAAGTAGCTGATCACGAGTAATTCATTTCTTTAATTGCCTAAAAGCTTAAAAGCATGATTTACCTCGGGATGCCAAAGGAAGCTTGAAATAATCATCATAAATACAGGACACAGTAATCCATTGCAAAATATAGTATAGCACTGAAAGGTGGTAATCCTATGAGGTGCAACACACTTAATTTTGTTATGTCTGAGCGTCCCCTAGTGGTGAATAATTGTAGTATTTAATGTAAAAAGATACACTCACAGTGCCTTGTGAACGTATTTATAGGTTTTCCACTTTTTCCCTAATCTTTATTGTATTTTCATGTTTTGTTTTTTTTTTGTTTGTTTTTTTTTTTTTACAAAAGTAATGCATAATTTTGGAGTTCAGGGAAAAATATGTCCATGCTTTATTCTTTTATTCTGAAATGTATTGCATGTATGCCTGATAATTCTGTATACATCCTCCTTTTGCCACACCCGCAAGTGCTTAGTCATGTCAAACGTTGCACTACTCAGTACTGAAATTTTGCCACATTCTTAATCTTATTCTCAAAACACCTCAATCTCAGTCAGATTGGACGGAGACATACATTTTTAAAGCCTTGCCACACAGACCCCCACCCAGACAGTTGCTGCCTTCGACAGTTTTCCGTTTTCATTTGCTTCGTCGTTTTTGGCAGGATGAAGGAAATGTCAGGCATGTTGGAGAAGCAGCACTGCCTGCTCAAGCTCATCATCCAGAAGATGGAAATCTCCTCTGAGGCCGAGGAGTCCGACGGTCCCGTGACACTGAAAGGCAGCATGTGGCCCAGCTTGGGTCATAGCAAAGCAAGGGGCCGCAGCACGTCACGCTGGGTCCCGCTGATTAAGGCCATCGAGGCCAACCGCAAATAGAAGAGACCTACACAGCATGAACTTTTCTGATTTGCACAGTGAATTTCCACTGATACATAGGTGTAGTTGTCATTTTAACATGTAAAACTATGTGTGTGACTGTAATTGCTCAAATCAAGATCAAGTCCTCAATTGCAATATTTGCTTTCTGAAAGACGGAAGGAAAGGAAAGAAATATTGGATAAGTCAGGATGGAAATGAATGTAATCTTGTGTTGTTTATTGTTGCTGTCTCTATGTAATGCTTTAATGCAGTGGTTCCCAAATCCGGTTCTCAAGTATCCCTGCCCTGCATGTTTTAGACGTTTCTCTGTTCTAGCACACCTGATTCAAATGACCGCATGACCTCTTTTCTGCCACTAATTGTTGCAGAAGTCTGTTAAGTCAGCCACAGATTTAAGTCAGGTGTACGGAAGTAAGAATACACCTGAAACATGCAGGGCAGGGCTGAATTGAAGAGCAGGTTTGGAAACCACTGCTCTATATGCCACATCTACTCTCACAAAATATATTTCTTAATTTCTGTCACTACTCCCAAATAAAGCATAACATTACCCTGCACAACACGGCTGCAAATAATTCTAAAAGTTTTCATCTAAGCACGTACGATACCACATGAACAGTGTAAGGAACGAATACATCAGACATCTGACTTTTTTTTTTTGCTTTTATCGCCTCGAGTCCAGTGCTGCAAACTGCTTTGGTGAAGATCATGGGAACCACGAGACGCAAACAGAGTTCAGGCTCTGACATCATGAGCCTGCACCTGTCCCTCTGCTTCTCGCAGCGGACCTCTGGTGGAGGTCAAGCCCCCGTCAAAGTCTCTGCTGATGGAAAAATACCTACTCCGCCTTTAGGTCCACTTTAAAGTGTTATTTATTACCACTGGCCTTGGATTTAATTATCCCCAGGGCAAGTAGAGCAACCATAAAGCCATCAATTACATCAAAGTTTAGGGTAATATTTTTTTCCCGTTTTACTCTAGGAAGTGTGTGCATAGAATGACCAATGAGCGCAGTGTTTTATCTCCGCCTGTTCTCCCTCTGACAGTGAATGAAGCACCAGGATGAATGATGTCATATGTCATACAGCTGATGCCTTTTTTGTGTCCGTCACAAAAAAAACAAAAAAAAAAGATGACGGCTCACCAGATGATCGGTAAATCCGACAGCAGAATCCCTTAGCTTGCACCTTCATAGGTGTCAGTCAGGCCGTCCGCCTCGCTGACGGATGCGGTGATAGAGGATGGGGTTGGCAGACCGCCCGAAACTCTCGCTATGATTCCGGCATAACTCAATATCTCAACGTCATGACTCACCCAAGGATATGCTAAGAGCAGGAATCCCTGCAGGGTCCGGTCGATCGCTGGTCTGTTGGAAAGCTGCATGGAAAAGCACATGTGCAAGGAATGAGTCCCTGCTTCAGGGAACATCGATAGACTTAGAAAAGAAGGAAGACCGAGTCACAAAACTGTCGATTACTTTTAAAATGACTGACATGCTTCATAAGATTAAACATTTAAGTTGATGGGAAAGCTCTGTCAGGTTGACTGGAGGGTGCCTGTAAATGTTACTTTTTCAAAGTTTCGAATTTTGCCACCGATTCATTTGACATCAATGCGCTTGAATCGAAATCGTTCCATCGCAGCTCAGTTGTGATCAAAGTCAGTAATGCAGTGGAAGAGGAATCTTTGTCCTCTAGTGTCAAGGTTTTTTTTTTTGGAACCTCTAAAAGTTTTCCTCGCTGTCCTTCTCTCTACTTAACTCCATCCATCTTCTCTTCACCTCTGCTCCTTTTGTCCTTGCTGAATAAAACACATCCCCACAACACATTTCTGCATCTGCACCATCCAGCAATTTTCACTGTGGGAGGGGGGAGAGGGGATGTGTTCAAGATTATTTGGATTTTTAAATTCCTGCCACATACGGAGCAGCCCCGAAATATCATCCTGTCTAAGGGAGCACCTTCTTTTCTTGCAATCTGCACCAATTGCATCTGGTGTTTCACAGAACTGCCTTTTGACAAGTGGTTTCTTCTTGCTACTTTTTAAGTACGATATATATGGAGGTGTTGTGACAAATATGAAGGCATGTTCCACAAAGCCAGACACAAACATATCAGTTGCACGTAGATCATTCTTGGCTAAATCTTTCTTCACGTCTTTTTTTTTTTTAGTTGACACAAAGCACATTTTGTTAAACATTCTAAAAAAAAAAAAAAAAAAAGAGTAAAAACATGGTTCGTTCCACAAATCCGTCACCTTTTCCCGGTCAGTCAGTCGCTTCGGTAGCAGGTTTTTAACAGCGCCCTCTTCGCTTCCCCAACAGGTGTTACTCTTTTTCTCTCCACACCAAATCTTTAAGCTGATTGTTACACGAGATCCTTTTGAGGACGCAAAAAACAAACACATAATCGCCGCACGTTCAGCAGTTAAAAAAAGAAACGCTGCTACATGTGAAAGAAGATGGGGCCTCTTTGCATCTGCCACACCCTTGTCATGCCAGCACTCCAGATGTCATGGGAACCTCTAACAGCTGGGGCTGGTGCACAAGGGCTGCGTGTGAAAGGCCGCTCCATCTGCAGAAACCCAATCCCTCTGTGAAACCAGCAAAGGATTAGGTGCTTTTGATAAGCTCCCTAAGACATTTCTATTAAAGCACATCTGTAGGAGCAACAAACTGCAAGGACATTTACTATGTGTGTGCAGCAGCCGCATTTCTAGTGGGAAGGTTGCAACCTCCTGCACAATACACCGGGGGATCCTGTGTTGCTTTGGTAACATCAATCCCCAGACAGTGACCAGGGATTACCCAAAAGCAGCCATTAATTCACAGTGCTTAGCCAAATTATTCGGCTGGAGATGTGCAAGTCAACTGTTTAACAGTTTCCACAAAGAGACAGAGTTGCAATCTCACTGGGGTCATGGAGGTTTGGAGAAAAGGGGAGGAGAAATGCAAAGAGGCCAAGCGCACGACACTTACATTTGAGGGGTCTACATTCAGTTTTTGAAATGTAACTCATTACTTTGTAAGTCCATTGAATGCTGGCCTTCTGGGCCCCCTGCAGCTACATCGTAACTACATGGATTTTTAAACTGGCAAGGATCCAATCAGACTTTTTGTTTTTCACCTTTAACAAAAAGAAACTGCTGCACTTTTAAAAAGCCATGTCAACAGGCTCGACTCCAAGTGATCCCGAGGACGACGAGATATTCCACGGAAGTGTCTCTGCAAGCATGAGGAAAATCACCCGCCTCAGTGCCAGGCGGTATTTGGACAAAGATCTGGAAGACGAGGGTGTGGAGAGGGGGATGCAGCAGGACCACAGCAGGCTCTCCAAGGCACACCAGAAGGAGTCGAGGCAGTCTCAGAGGAACGCCGCCAACGCTCGGGAGAGGGCGAGGATGAGAGTGCTGAGCAAAGCTTTCTCTAGACTGAAAACGAGCCTGCCCTGGGTTCCCGCAGACACCAAATTGTCAAAACTGGACACTCTGCGTCTCGCGTCCAGTTACATCTGTCACCTCAGACAGATCCTGCAGGAGGACCGGCTGGAGGACAGCTTTGCACATCCAGTCAGTCTGGTATGAAACTTCTCCAACAGCCGTGCTTGGTAAAAAAAATAAATAAATACTTTAATGGGAAATAAATAATCATGACCACATCTGTCTCATGTTAAGGCTTAGACGTTTTTTTTTTTTTTAATCATTTTTTGAGAGTAAAATTTAACCTAATTTCTTGTGTTATTTTTTCAGACGTGGCCCTTCATGTCGACAGGAAGATCAGAGGAGGACATTTCATCCGCTGTAAGACTTTGTGGCACTACAGCGTAGTCCGTCCCTTCTCACCTAAAAAAAAGCATCTCCAGAACTGACTCTGAGATTTGCTTTCATGTTCACCTGTCTGCATATTATGGTTTTGTAGTTAAACAACTCTTGACTAGGAACTGCAATGTTTTATTGTGTACATGTGTTGTGTTCAGGCCTGCTTTGTTTTTTAGCCTTTAGGCGTTTTGGAATTGTATTTGAATTTGTTTTTTTTTTTTTTTTCAGTTTTTGTGATGATATTGGTCTGTTTGCTGAATCAGAGTATCATTAAATAGCATGGGTTTGATTTAACATCAGTAAACAAACAGGTTTATGGTAAATACGCAAAGCTTGTGTAGTGCTATTCAAATCTTATTGACGTCTTATAACATTTTAGCAATAACTTATGGTACACAATTTGTGCTATTTTCACAAATACATTCAAATCCAAGCCTATTTTGTTACTGTGGATTTACATTGGTGTAATAATAAATAGAGAAAAAAAAACACTAATGGATTTTAATATTTCTTTATTTGCTACATAAGAGACAGATTTTGTGTTTTAAGTGCTAAGGCATTTTTATTTCAGTAATTAATTATCAGCTGATTGTGCAAATTGATAAAGCTCTCAGCCTCCACTAACATAACGTAACAGCAGCCGGTTGTGAAAGTGTTTGGTTTGAATCATTTCCTTTATCATGACGTGTTTCTGCTTCACATCATAAGTCACTGAAAATCCCTTCTGAGAAAAAAAAAAAAAACAAACTTTGAGCTACCCCTTTACGGTAATAAAACTCTATTGTGCATTTGGGCTCACAATAGATTTGTATGGATTTGAAAACAATCTGAAAACAAAACAGGCCTCCATTAGTCTTTATATAAAGAGTTGTATTTATGGTCACCTGCAGTATTTCCAGCCACCCCAGTGGAGCCTTCTTTCAGCCAGCTCCTCTGCAATGCAAAGCAACATTTGAGGATGGCTCAGCTCATCTCAGCGCTCCACTGCCCACAGCTTCAAACAGCTGAGAGAAAACTCTTGCTCACCTGATTGGTGACAGAGTTCATAGTTGTCCCCTGTTGGACTTTGTGCTGGTGCTCTGATGGACTGCCGATTTGTCCGGCACAGTTTACAGCCATTGCCTGTAAACTGTGTGGTTACAAACTGATGGATTTGTATCATACACCAATCTCCCGCTGTCATTTCTTTGGTCCTGTATCCTAAACTTTTCACTGTTTTATTTTTCTGTCAGTTTTAGCCTTTTTAGAGCTGAAAAGACATCTGCACCTGTCCCAAGGCCCTTCCTTAAAGACTTAGAAACAATTCTGATCCCCAGGCTCAGCAAAGACTTTGTTGGGATTGTTTTTGGAATAAGGTTCGTCTGTGTGTAGAAATACTTTCAGCTGTTTTTGTTAACCTGTTTTCTTTGGCATATTTGTGTACTTCTTTTTTTTTTGTTTGTTTTTTTTGTTTACAGATATGGTTTATTCCTGAAAATTATGAACATTTTTAAATAAAGTCTATGAATTTTTCTTTAATTCATAGACTTCAGCGGTAAATGACAATAAACACAGAAAAAGCCTACGATAAAATGAGAAGGACAAATGTGTCTGCCACTTCTGACGTTCTTAATATTCTGTAATACGCCATATCGGGTGCAAACATTCTTTTATTTCTCACATAACTTCTAGAAAATGTTTAAAATAGTGACTGCTCGTTAAATATCAGGAAATACATCTTTAGCTATCTTGAGGAGCACATGTGGTGTTTTCTCTTTTGTTTGTTTTCAAAATCTGTCTGGACCTCACATCTCATCTGCCAGCAGGGGTCTTGAGAACTTGGACCATGTAGACTTTCAAAATTCAGTCAAAACAAAGTTAAAGGATAAAAACATCCTGTAGGTTTGAGTTGGAAGAAGGTGAAAGTCAGTGGCAGAGCATCGTGTTCAGTCAGCCAAACTTGCAATTCCCAAATGTGCAAGCTTGCACTCAACAGCCTCCACTCTTCGTAGACAGAATGGATACTAGTGATCTCTTGATGCTGCAGCTCTTTCATCTGGTTAAACCCCACAACGATGGGAGCACAGATGGATCCAGATCTTTTCCGAGGCGGTCTACTGGGACGCCCGGACAAAAAAACTGTTTCAACACAGAAACAGGGAGAAGAGAGGATGAGTTTTCATCAGGTTAGTGCAGAGCTGCAGCTGTTGCCATCTTGGTGAGTTTCCCAGATCCTTAAACCGTTCTCCTGGGACACACCGGTCACTGCTGGACCCAAGCAGCTAATGAGCTGCCTTCTCACACTCGACTGTCCTCTGTTCTTGGACCGTTCCCTGCAGTTGGGGCCCGAAAATGTAAAAGTGACTTCTAAA